TACAAAAATTAGCCAGGTGTAGTAGCACATGCCTATAATCCCAGCTACTCAGGAGGCTGAGGCAAGAGAATCACTTAAACCCAGGAGACAGAGGTTGCAGTGAGCCCAGATCGTGCCACTGCACTCCAGCCTGGGCGACAAGAGTGAGACTTTGTCTCAAAAAATAAATAAATAAAATAAAATTAAAATTAAAAATTAGAGAAATTGATTTAAGGTAACAAAATACATTTAAGGTCAAAAATATGTTCCTCGGTTTCTTCCATTTCAAGGTTTTCTGTTGGAAAAACGCCTTCTAAAGTACGAACTTGGCATTAACTGCCAAATATAAAAGACAAAGTAAATCTGCTTAATAACTGTCTCCAAACCACAAATGCTGCCCTAAAAATACAATGCATATTGACAATACTCATCCAGTTATTTTAATTCCACATGGTAGTAAGAACAGAGGCTCTAGGTCCCTGGTATAACAGTGGTATCTCAGAATCCAGATAATATGTTGTCTTTGCTTAGTAACATATGTTCCAAGTATCAGCTGAGGATAACAGCCTAATCTGCTAAAAAGCTCAAGATTTCATTTGACAAACTCATGCAACACACATCCTCCAAATATCTATTTTATCTTGGTCCTACAAGTAACTAAAACAAGGTCCCAAAGAACAGCTATGGCAAAGCTACAGAAGCAGCACACTAATATTATGTTGTTCTTCCTCCAAACCACTCTTAACTACATACAAATCCAACCAAAAGAAGTGAACTATTCTTCCTGAAATAGACCACACAAGTATTGACTATCCTAAAAGCCTCTACTGATTCAATACTTCTCCAAATACACACTTTAATATAAATTAAATAAGTGCTTAAAAGATATATATATATTTGTTTGTTGGTTTGTTTTTAAAGACGGGGTTTCACCATGTTGGTCAGGCTGGTCTTGAACTCCCAACCTCAGGTGATTTGCCCACCTTGGCCTCCAAAGTGCTTGGATTACAGGCATGAGCCACCACACCCAGTCAAAAGATATACATTTTTAAGCAACTGGATCCAGAAGCAGTTAGGACATTTAAAATAATCCCTTTAGACATGAACAGACACACTTCAAAAGACATACGTGTGGCCAAGAAGCATATGAAAAAAAGCTCCATATCACTGATCATTAGAGAAAGGCAAGTCAAAACCACAGTGAGATACCATCTCACACCAGTCAGAATGGCTGTTATTTTAAAGTCAAAAAATAACAGATGTTGATGAGGTTGCAGAGAAGAGGGAAAGCTTATACACTCTTGGAATGTAAATTAGATCAGCCACTGCGGAAAGCAGTGTGGTGACTCCTCAAAGAGCTGAAAACAGAACTACCATTGGACCCAGCAATCCCATTACTGGGTATATATCCAAAGAAATATATATTGTTTTATCATAAAGATACATGCCTGCATACGTTCATTGTAGCACTATTCACAATAGCAAAGACATGGAATCAACCTAAACGCTCATCAATGGAAGACTGAATTTTTTTTTAATGTGCTACATATGTACATGGAATACTATGCAGTCATAAAAAAAGAACAATGTCATGTCCTTTGCAGGAACATGAATGGAGCTGGAGGCCATTATCCTTAACAAACAATGCAGGAACAGAAAACCAAATACCACATGTTCTCACTTATAAGTGGAAGCTAAAGGATGAGAACACATGGACACAAAGAGGGGAACAACAGACACTGGGACCTACCAGATGGTGGCGGGTGAGAGGAGGGAGAAGAGCAGCAAAAATAACTATTGGGTGGGTACTAGGTTTAGTCCCTGGGTGACAAAATAATCTGCACATCAAACCCCCATGACACAAGTTTACCTATATAACAAACCTGCACATGTACACCTGAACCTAAAAGTTAAATATATATATACACACACACATACGTATATAAACGACAATAATTTATAGATAGATAGATAATCCCTTTAGACTTACACTGGTATCATACACAAAAGGTTCTCCATGACAAAGTTTTCAGCAAGTTAAAATAGAGAAATAATACTACATCCCAGTGAAGGGGGGTGGGAAATACCTTTAAAAAAATAAACACACTGATGGATTCCTCCATTTTAACACAGTTTTTGTAGTTTGTCTTCAGAAATAACTTCCAAGTTGAACATACCACATTGGAAGTCTCAACTTTGGACATTAGAACATTAGGACAGCTACATCATGAATATTTATTATGGCAATGACAAATCAAGTTATTCTGTGTCCTCCAAGAGTTAAGAGGCAGGAACAACAACTTCTGGAAGGATTTTCAAATTTGGAGAATTTCCCTATTTATCTTTGATATCTTTGAATCTAAATATTGCCATGACATCTTTTCACCTCCAGGTTGCAATGGAAACATTTTTATGCCTTTGAATTAACTACCAATAGTGCAATTCTAATTTACCTTATCATTATACTTGGTAAACTGTTGCTATGAAAATAGCATTTAGCTGGGCAAGGTGGCTCACGCCTGTAATCCCAGCACTTTGGGAGGCCAAGGTGGGTACATCACAAGGTGAGGATATCGAGACCATCCTGGCTAACATGGTGAAACTTCATCTCTACTAAAAATACCAAAAAATCAGCCAGGTGTGGTGGCAGACGCCTGTAATTCCAGATACTTGAGAGGCTGAGGCAGGAGAATCCCTTGAACCCGGGAAGTGGAGGTTGCAGTGAGCAGAGATCTCGCCACTGCACTTCAGTCTGGCAACAGAGCAAGACTCCATCTCAAAAAAAAAAAAAGAAAGAAAAAGAAAAAAAGAAAAGAACATTTAATAACTTAATTATTTAATAAGTTAACTCTCTTACCTTTTAAAATAAAGTTAACTTCAAAAGCTACCAGGATAAGTTATTCTAACATTCAAATAAAAAATAACATGCAAACAAGTATTCCACGAAATGGATGTGAATCAGGTCTGAGAAATAACACTGCAGCATTATGAAATTTACATTTTCCCTTTCCTCCTTTCCATATGCTTTCAGGTTCATGCACAAATATTAAAAACAAAAGTTCAATCAAAAAAAGTCATTTGATAGCTGCTGCTTTTTTAAGTTGCAGGGGGTGCAGGGAGTCTCTCCATATCTTGCATTAAACATAAAAATCTATGTGTCCAGCTGGGTACAGTGGCTCACGCCTATAATCCCAGTACTTTGGGAGGGCAGGGTGAGTGGATCACGAGGTCAGGAGTTCAAGACCAGCCTGGCCAACATGGTGAAACCCCATCCCTACTAAAAATACAAAAATTAGCCAGGCGTGGTAATGGGCATTTATAATCCCAGCTTCTCAGGAGGCTGAGGCAGAGAACTGCTTGAACACGGGAGACAGAAGTTGCAGTGAACCGAGATCGAGCCACTGTACTCCAACCTAGGTAACAGAAAAGAAAAATCTATGTGCCCATGCCATACTTACAACAGCAACCTACCTCCATAATTTACACCCTATTTTATGGTATCACATGACAGAACTTCCAAAAAATTAAGAGTATGATGTACAGCTTCTTTCCAAGCATGTTTACAAGAAGTATCTCATGTAAAGTAAACCATCCATTTTAATGTGACTCTAAAACCCCATGCCCAAAAGCCAATGACTGGTTTACAGGCAAGGTAATGACTAGTTCAATGGAAAATGTATTTTGACAATAAACTAAGTCTGGCTTACCATGTTATGATCGGCTTGCCTAATATGTATGCTTAGCTACTGTAGTCAGCAATGCCCAAATAAAAAGTTGAAACACTTAATGGCCAGTTCTGTTCTAGATTTCAAACTCATTTTACTTTTTTACAACAGTTTTAATCTAAGGTTCTCCACAAGTATTTTTTTCTTAGAAAAGAGATCACCTTGAGTAGGGCAAGGAAGGGGTGAACTTAAGGAACAAATTTTTCCGTAAGTAC